AGAATTGGCTGTAAGCATGTATTTGGGTAAGATCTGAAATATTCATTGACTCGGTGGCCAATGTGTCCGGTCCCTTGGATTTGGTAGAACTTTAAGTATGCTGAATAAGATTTTTAATAATATTTCACTCTACTAAACTTGCTGTCTGGATGGGAGCTAAAAGCTGGATTGCTTAAAGGGGACTGTACTTTGGATTCTTGGTAACCAGTGTGGTAATACAGAAGCTGTTTGGTTACTGGCTTGGTGAATCTAATTATAGAATAAACCACCAATATTTTGGGATTGTCTGCCCTATTCCTTGCAGTTTTCCCTAAATAAGCATTCTCAGTGTGGCCCCTCTGGGCACTACGTCACATTTGCCTTGTAAGGTATCATTTGAAAACTCATAATTTGCTGATCGGTATCATCCTGATAAAATATGTGTGGCAACATTGTATATGAAGTTATAAGATTCTGCTGTATGGGGTTAACACGTGTTCCAAACTGAGGTTGGCAAACAGGTCTGTCTTAAACAATGGAATGGGTGGCCTGCTTAATTTGCCTTTAAGCAGTAAACAGAGTAATCAAGCAAGAAGGGAAACAAAGGAAGCTCAAACAGGTGATAAAAAGCAGCATGGAACATCCTTCCACACAGACATTTTGTCTCCTGGCACCCAGCTGGAAACGTTTTTCGAGAGGGAATTAAACTATAAAAAGGAGGGACAAACAGCCCGAGGGACCTTCTTCTCTCTCCCTGCCCATTGCAGTTATTGAACCTTTGTTGGGCTCTGGGAAAAGGGGTCCTGACCTATGAAGTTTGGTCAGTAAGACTACTGAAAGCATGTGGTGAGAAAACTTTGCTTTGAATTTAATAGTTTAAACACAAGTTGTTTTATTTTTCTTGTTACCATTTCTGACTTTTATGCCTCATTGTACTCACTTAACATTTCTCTCTTTGGAGTTAATAAACCTGTTTTACTGTTTTATCTAATCCAGTGTATTTAAATTGAAGTATCTGAAAAAAATATTTGAAATAAGTTGGCATATTATTTTTACAGAAATAACATACCTAACACTTTGTATTGTCCAGGAGAGGGATGGGCAATACAGGACCAGGTGTGTGTTGGGGTCACCCTGCAGTATAACCAAGGCTGGTGAGAGCCAGACTGTAACCCAACTGTGGCTGGCAGGCTTCAGTTTCACAGATACTCAGGGTATGGCTTGCATGCTGGAAGGTGTTTGTGAATGACCGAAGTGGGAGCTACTTCAGCAAGGCATTGCAAGGCATCCAAAGATGCAGGGCAGAGGTGACACAGCTGCTCATTAATCTAGATTATACCCTGGTATGTCACAATCTGAGTGAAATGTATGTTCAAAAAGGAACTAAGCAATGAAGAAGATACCACAACTACAAGGAAGCCTTTGCCTTTCCACACTCTTCTAGACACATTGATCTAATATCTGACATTCAGTAGTTCCAATAAGGAGAATCTAAAAAAGGGCGAGGCTGGAGTCACTTGCAGTAGAGCAGTGGTTCCCAAACTGGGGTTCATGAACCCCTGGGGGTTCACGAAATGTTACAGGGGGTTCTCGGGGGAAAAAATTCCCTAATGGTGGACAGAGCTGTCCCTAGGGATCCCGGGCAGCATGGGGCCAGCAGCCTGGAGCCCTGGACTTCCAAGAGCTAAGCAGATCAAAGTAAGCATATCTATCACACTGAGGAGATTTAAACTTCAAGACTCCTTATAAGAAATGGAAAGGGAAGTGGATATTTTTTGCTGTTTTTAAAATTAAATAGGCAGCTAGTACTGTTTTTTAAATTATTATGAAGAACAAGTTTAAGCTTTGTTGTAACGTGCGTTGTTTGCTGGACTGCTCAAGACCTGATTGCTTGTGTAGGAGGAACTCTTTGAGTTGGATTCTTAAATACCTTTATGCTGTTTCACATCTGATACTCCTTGATGAAACATAGGAACCTTGTTTTATAACAGGCTTATTCAAAGTCATACAAGCTACGAAAGTGAGATCTTGGAACAGTGTTGCCATTTTCATAATGTAATAAAAATACTGTAATGATAAATAATAATTAATAAATAGTGTGTAATAAGCAGGTCATAAAAACAAATTTTATATTTCCAAGATCACTGCTTTTATAATTTATACTCAGGTAAAGGAGAAAATCCCTGGAAATATTCATTTTTAGGAGGGGGTTCGTGAGACTTGTCATTTTAGTGAAAGGGGTTCACAGGTTGTTAAAGTTTGGGAACCACTGCAGTAGAGTAAGCAGACTTGCATTGAGACTAATACAAGTATTTGTAAAGTTTGCCTTGTCAGCTACATTTGTATGGTATGTTTCCACATTTGGAGAGGATGGCAGTATGACCCTGTATGGAATCTGGGGAACACTTTAGGATATTATGAATACCCCTACTGTAAAATTGCAATGAGTTGTGCCAGATGTGCCATGTAAGGTATCTGCAAAAATGTTATACTTCCCAAGTATGATAATCATGTTTGTATGATCTTTGTATTGTAAATTATAAATATGTATGGTAGGTCTGTAGTTCCAAACTTGTGCTGTGCATCTGGGTGACACCCCCGGACAGATTGGCATCAGCACTGCCTAGCCTGCTTGATGGCCTATCAAGGGACATCAACTGTACAATGAACCCACTGAAAGGGTCAGGGACTACATCTTATGACTCAGCAAGACATGCAAGGACATGCCTATGGAGAGAACTCTAAGGCCTTTCAATGCCATTTTCAAGAATGAGATTAGGGAAAATACATCTTGACAATGTTAAAAATTGTTTTGTTGAGATGCTCTAATAAACAGCTTCATGTTTTGGAACATGGAATTGAAAGCTGGTGAGGGGCAGTCACCCTGTTGTCAGATATGCCTTTTGCCATCCCTGTGAAAATGTACCAAAATCTGGACATGCTACAAGTTTTGTAGCTCTTTGCAGTCTGCCTTGGTCTTAACTATCATTAGTAATTTTGTATCATCTACAAATTTTGCCACCTCACTGTTTACCCCTTTTTCCAGATCATTTATGAATACGTTGAATAGGACTGGTCCCAGAACAGACCCCTGGGGGACACCACTATTTACCTCTCCATTCTGAAAACTGACCATTTATACCTAGCCTTTGTTTCCTATCTTTTAACCAGTTACCAATCCATGAGAGCACCTTCCCTCTTATTGTCAAAAGCTTTCTGAAAATATAGTGTACACTAGATCCCCTTGGTCCACAGGCTTGTTGACCTCCTCAAAGAATTCTAGGAGATTGGTGAGGCATGATTTCCCTTTACAAAAACCATGTTGACTCTTCCTCAACAAATTATGTTCATCTATATGTCTGACAATATTGTTCTTTATTATAGTTTCAACCAGTTTGCCTGGTACTGAAATCAGGCTTACGGGCCTGTAATTGCCGGGATCACCTCTGGAGCCCTTTTTAAAAATTGGCGTCACATTAGCTATCCTCCAGTCATCTGGTACAGAAGCTGATTTAAATGATAGGTTACTGAGTACAGTTAGTAGTTCTGCAATTTCACATTTGAGTTCCTTCAGAATTCCTGGGTGAATACCATCTGGTCCTGGTGACTTATTAATGTTTAATTTCTCAATTTGTTCCAAAACCTCCTCTAAGGATACCTCAATTTGGGATAGTTCCTCAGATCTATCACCTATAAAGAATGGCTCAGGTTTGGGAATCTCCCTCACATCTTCAGCCGTGAAGACCGATGCAAAGAATTCATTTAGTTTCTCGCAATGGCCTTATCATCCTTGAGTGCTCCTTTAGCACCTCGATCCTCCAGTGGCCCCACTGGTTGTTCAGCAGGCTTCCTGCTTCTGATGTACTTAAAAAAAAAAATTGCTATTTTTTTTTCAGTCTTTGGCTAACTGTTCCTCAAATTCTTTTTTGGCTTTCCAAAGTGTATTTTTACATTTCATTTGCCAGTGTTTAAGCTCCTTTCTATTTTCCTCACTAGGATTTAACTTCCACTTTTTAAAGGATGCCTTTTTGCTTCTCATTGCTTCTTTTACTTTGTTGTTTAGCCACCGTGGCTTTTTTGGTTCTCTTACTATGTTTTTTAATTTGGGGTATATATTTAAGTTGAGCCTCTATTATGATGTCTTTAAAAAGTTTCCACACAGCTTACAGAGATTTCACTTTTGGCACTGTACCCTTTAATTTGTGTTTAACCTCCTCATTTTTGTGTAGTTCCCCTTTCTGAAATTAAATGCTCCAGTGTTGGGCTCTTGTGGTGTTTTTCCTGCCACAGGGTTATTAAATTTAAATATATTATGGTCACTATTACCAAGCGTTCCAGCTAGATTCACCTCTTGGACCAGATCCTATGCTCCACTTAGAACTAAATCAAGAATTGCCTCTCTTCTGGTGGGTTCCAGGACCAGATGCTCCAAGCAGTCATTTAAAGTGTCAAGAAACTTTATCTCTGCATCCTGCCCTGAGGTGACATGTACCCAGTCAATATGAGCATAATTGAAATCCCCCATTATTATTATTGAGTTTTTATTTTAATAGCCTCTCTAATCTCCCTGAGCATTTCACAGTCACTCTCCAGAGAAAAACATCTACGGCTACTAACTGATGGTAACTTTATAGAATAAGTCTCTTCAATCTCTTTGCATTTATAACTATTGTAATGAAAACTACTTTTTGGTTTTCTGACTGACCTGAATAAGTTCTTTAAGTGTATTAATGTTAATTTATTTTTATATTAATTTATCATTAGAAAACAGTTTAAAAAACCAAGAGCCCAACATTTTGCGTCTCTATTGTTGTTCATCAACGTACAATGTACTCCCTGAAATGTGTCTGAATTCATGCATTCAATTCTGGTCTTCTGGTTTATTCTACTCTTTACTCAGTTGATGAACTGGGAAGAAATATCATAGGGAATAATTCAGAATAACTAAAAGGAAATATGAAAGTCAAGTGCATGAAAGATCTTTGGTGTGTATATGTAAGATACAGGAACAAGCAACAAGATGCAGTAAAGACTAATTCAAGATTTAATCCACCATATGCTCAAATTCATCAACATGTTAGTGAAAGTATCAAAAGTCATACATAATATATGGCAATATTTTTATTTTGTTACAATATATTTGTGGTGCAGCTTTTCCAAATGGGATAATTAAGCTGCAGACAGAGCAATTGCATTAAATCTTAATTCTTCTGGGTCACGTTCCATGAACTTCTTGCAAACTTCTACTGCAGCCTATTTAAAAAATAAGATATGAAAACACACAATTACTATTTATTATATAAAACACACTATTACTAAAAACAAAAAAGCAGTCAGCACATGAATTAAATACAGTATTGTAACTATGATTTACAGCAGTTATGTCCCTCGTGATTCTTTCACTTTCTGCACAAACTTTACCAATGTGTCAAACTGAACTGGAATTAATTTCTTATCTGAGTTGACATTGCTAAATATTACTTGCTGTGCCCAATGTAAGTTGTTGCATCTAACAGTCTGGAACATTATGGGTTACATTTCAAAAGTTGAGGCAGTTGGATAATTCTCTCTGCACGTTTGCCTTTAGTAGTACTGCTGCATTCAGAAACTTTTCTCCTTCACCTAAAGATGTCACTGAACTCTTAAGCAACATCACCAGCTTTACATGTTGGGAAAGTGGAAGACTGTAAATAACTCCTGTGTCTAATCTAGACTGAGAGTGCACCACACAGTGCTTGTTATTTTTGTTAGAAAATATGAGGCATGTGAAGGAATAAAAGAGGAGAATACGCACTCATTTCCCACACACTGTGTGTAATTTAAGAAAAAGTGGCTTTGGACAGCTTAAAGAAAGCAGCCTGTGTGTCTCCAGCCTCTTGCTTCCCCAAAGGTTATGTAAAGTGACCATAAATTTTAGATTTCTATGCATGGTGTACTCCTGGGGGAATTCTGCACCACTGCGCAATGCAGAATTTTGCAGAAATTAATATTGCGTGTGCAGAATTTTCTTTTCCCCCCACAGAAATGGGCTGCAGAGATGTTAACCACCACTAGGGGCCACTGGACCCAGCAGAGCCCAGCTCACAAATAGAAGACAAGGATGAGGGGGGAGAGGGTGGGAGCTGGAGGATTCCCAGCAGCTGCAGTTCCCAGTACCCCCTGAAGGAAGGAGGCAGTGGTGCACAGGAAACTCCGTGCAAGCCTGGGACCCAGCATCATCAGGCTGTTTCTCCATCTGGATCCCTAGGGTCTAGGAGAATAGGTTCTGTGAATGTCTGGGGGCTGGCCTCTAGGGGGTAGGGGATGAGTGTCTGGGCCAGGGAGGGCCCCATGGCTGGGCTCTGGGTGGAAGGGGGTGTGTCTGGCCCCTCGTCTGGGCTCTGGGGGAGAGGAGGCAGAGAAGCAGGAACTGGGTTGTCGTAGGGGTTTCTTTAACTCTCTACTCCTGGGGGAATTTGTGTGTGTGTGTGTGTGTGTGTGTGTATTGTTACAGACATACTTGCTGACAGGTTATTTTGAAATAAATTACCAAAATAATT